TTGATATGTAGAAAATGTGCCATTAGGATGTATACAAATACTATACGCATCATTCTGGATGATAAAAGTATATTAAGACCAACTAACCTTTTGTTCGTTGTTGTAGACATCATTAGATACTGAAGACGTGAGCCTGAAGGGGGATTGAAAAATTACCAATCCGAAGTGCATTGTTAAATAAGCGAAATAAAGTAAGCTGTTTAAAGTGTAATCGATATTAATTGCGGGTAATTAAGAAAGACGTGATAAATATCATTAGTCTCACTATTGGAAGAAGAAACTTTCTTATAACTTTTTATATTTTTAATTATTATCGAATGGCAAAAAGCTTAATTTTGAGGGTAGTGATAAGTTTTATATAAAAAATCGTAATGTTAATAACGAATAACATATTCATTAAGTTCAACACATGACGCCCCTCTATCTCCCCACCGCTTTAACCTTTAACGGTTAAACTATACCTAGATAAAACTCTTCCTTTCCTTTGCACACTTTTACACAACTAATTAAAATATTCTAGCTCGTCGCCATTAAACAACACTCCTTGACTAAAAGGAAAATGGCGAACGTGTATTCAGTTTTCTTTAAACATGGCGTCGCTACGGCCACTTTATGTAGTAGGCCTATATTCTAGCTCGTCGTTCAATAACTTATATTTAATAGTAAAAAATTCATCAGATATTTTCTAACCGATACTTTATTCACTGAATAGTAACTAGACTTACAAGAACAAATTACTATAATATAAAACCGATAAAAACATCCAAGTAGACAATGCCTTAAACCGAAACATTGAATACGAATTAATCTAAAATGTTATAGTTTGTTTCTTAATTTACTCACACCCACTGGTGCGGAAAAACGCCGCCGACATTTTCTACAATTAAATTCACACCGCCAATCTTAATATTAGGGAGATTTATTAGGGATTGAACACATACCTCAGGCATATAACTGTTCCGGTCCACAGCAGTAATTGGATTTAGGCCTAGTCGCATTTGACAGAAACCACAGGATCTTAATTCTACCGTTCATAGACATACGAATCGCATGGCTTTTTAAAAATGAAATGCGTGATCCTACAAATCGTCTGGTGGTTATAATCCCCTTCTTTTTACACGTGCTTTTAAGACATCTCCGTTTAGGACTATTTGATGAACAAAAATACCTAGACACTCGGTGATCCTTGGTGCAAAAATACCTTGATTTTGAAAAAAAAAAAACTAATATCGCCTTCTTCAACGTACGAAATATCCGGTAATTTACAGTCCATTTTCGATAAGTATTACTAAATAATGTAGAAAAAACAAAAATTTGCTGCACAAAATCTAAAAACAAAGAAATTAAGCGAAAGGAATACACTTCACGCGGATGCTTAAAACCAATTTGCATAATCGTGCGAAATTTGTGACGTAAAAATGATGACATGACATCGCCAGATTTGTAAAAATTAAAAAAAAACATAATAAATCTTATAAAATCAAAATTATTAATGTAAAAATAGTAAGTTTGCTTCCTTTTTCACTTAAAACAACTAATCTGTTTTAACTTAAAAATTTTCAGACGAAATCAGGATTTAGATCGCACCCGTTGACTGGCGTCCTGATAACCAGAAAGTACCAAAAAACAAACTTTTAGATGAAACATTCTTGAATTTATCGGAAATTACGGGCGTTTGAGTTTTTACGCGGCTAACAACAGTGCACGCTTGTGTCTGTAGACATTGGTAAGGTTCTTTGAAAAAAGGAAGCGCTTTAAAGTGACAACCGATCTATCCGTAGAATCAGGATCCGATCCGAACGGGTAGAAAAACCACAGGAAATTTTCGGAGTTGTCTGTGCAAACAGGTCAGGCCCCATCCCAGATTATCCTTTCGTACTGTGCCCGTAACGGGTTGGATAAAAATAGGCCTTCTTAGGGCCCACGGGCGATGTTAAAATACACATGTATTGACGATTCCGTCGATTTCCCGTGCCACCGTTCCCCCTTAAAAGAAGAAAGTGTCGCGACGATTATTTTCTAAGTACTGTATTTTATACAGAGAGAGTAAATTTATCGTAATTTTATTATAAGTAGCTTATATTGTGCACAAAATCGTTTCTGTACTATTCCGTATATAATATTTTTCAAACAATGAAATATATTTTCCCGAATTTTTTATTTTTGGCACGCGCAAGTGATATAGGGATGGGTAGTGTTTTCTGGGTGGACTTTCTACGAGGAAAAACCCCCTAGTTAGGTGTCAGAAACGTGAAAATCTGAAAAACATGCATCGCACCCATCGTTGGGGCTTTATTCCTCACCGACTATCGGTATTCGGTAGTTTTATCACATGTTTATCGACACCGGGCTGTTTAGGGTAAGTTTCGAACGAGTTAATCTGTGTTTGGAAGAGCCAATTAATTAAAGGAACCGTTGTCAATCGAACTCTAATATTTTATTACGTTGGTATCATAATTTTCGGAGGGCTATATCTCGTGAAGGGTCGCGCGTAGGGGTATGGTTCCTTTGACTTTTTTGTTCGCACGGGGAGGCTACACTTTGGGGGGTCGCCACTCCCTCATTCGGAGAGTAAATCTTACCGTCGTCTTGATTTTTCTTACGATTCCGGGTTCGAATACATATAGTTATCAACATTTTAACGGAATCTATATTTTTGTTTCTTTCAAAGATTTCCATCGACTTTAATTTATGAGTTTAATTAATAAATGTTTTGAATCGCATTTTTTTACTTTGTTTTTAGAATCAAGAGTCGTAAATGTGGATATCTGCTGTAGTCTATCGTATTAATTCTATATAATTAGTTATTTAAAGTAAAAAATCAAAAATTATTTTTATCGATAACTGGACTCACCTTCGTTTATTCTTCGGTAAATAGAATTCAATATTCTTTTCTCGAATTATTTAATTTTGAAAAAAAAGAAGGCAAATCTAATGACCTAAGTCAAAATCTGTGCGATTCGACGAACGGAATCGAATAATTTTTAAATTTTAAAAATGCGGAGCTTGTTTAGAACAGAAATGACGTAAATATATATACTTTGTATATCTCATTCAAAAAATATAATATATATGCATATATACAGGGTATACTATATTTTTTTGGTCTTATTCCATTTTACTGTAAAGCCTTCAGCTTGTGACATCTGGAATAATACTGTACTGCAAATGCCCCTTTTTACACTATATTAATCCTTTTAAAGATAACTCACATTTCTTTTGGTCACTCCATCACTCCAATATAATTATTCTTTATTTCTAATTGCTTGTTTTCATGCGATATTTTGCACACGCTTGCTTTCTCTCTTCTTTAACATATCTTTGTCAATCTTCAATATATTGTAAATATTTGGCGCTTTTTTTAGAGCCTTTATGCTCTGCCATTTCTTTCATGATGTTTATGTTCTTATTAAAAGTAAACATTGTGGTGGTATTAAGTCTACTGTTTTTGTCTTTGCTTGCTTCCTTTATAACTTCTAATCAGTCCTGTTGTACTAGTTTTGTATCCCAGGATTTTGACCATTTCATGAATTCTACCAAGTTTCTTCAGTCTGTCATGTGCATTTCTATTGATACAATACAAACATGCTCTTCTAACTGTTATATGTTGTATACTGCACTATTAAGACGACTAGCAAACCTAATGTAATACAACTAAACACTTTACAAGAGGAGACACACGTGGTGTGCTCTACGACTGACGATGGACGACTGCTGGGGTCCCACTAGTACATATTGTAACACTAACCAGGACCCGGAATGCTGCCAGTTTGTATCAATAAGGGTCACACGAATTAGATGGAATGTAGAGTGAGCTATGTGTTGCTGTATAGACATACGAATCGCATGGCTTTTTAAAAATGAAATGCGTGATCCTACAAATCGTCTGGTGGTTATAATCCTCTTCTTTTTACACGTGCTTTTAAGACATCTCCGTTTAGGACTATTTGATGAACAAAAATACATAGACACTCGATGATCCTTGGTGCAAAAATACCTTGATTTTGAAAAAAAAAAAACTAATATCGCCTTCTTCAACGTACGAAATATCCGGTAATTTACAGTCCATTTTCGATAAGTATTACTAAATAATGTAGAAAAAACAAAAATTTGCTGCACAAAATCTAAAAACAAAGAAATTAAGCGAAAGGAATACACTTCACGCGGATGCTTAAAACCAATTTGCATAATCGTGCGAAATTTGTGACGTAAAAATGATGACATGACATCGCCAGATTTGTAAAAATTAAAAAAAAAAAACATAATAAATCTTATAAAATCAAAATTATTAATGTAAAAATAGTAAGTTTGCTTCCTTTTTCACTTAAAACAATTAATCTGTTTTAACTTAGAAATTTTAAGACTAAATCAGGATTTAGATTGCACTTGTTGACTGGCGTCCTGATAACCAGAAAGTACCAAAAAACAAACTTTTAGATGAAACATTCTTGAATTTATCGGAAATTACGGGCGTTTGAGGTTTTACGCGGCTAACAACGGTGCACGCTCGTGTCTGTGGACATTGGTAAGGTTCTTTGAAAAAAGGAAGCGCTTTAAAGTGACAACCGATCTATCCGTAGAATCAGGATCCGATCCGAACGGGTAGAAAAACCCCAGGAAATTTTCGGGGTTGTCTGTGCAAACAGGTCAGGCCCCATCCCAGATTATCCTTTCGTACTGTGCCCGTAACGGGTTGGATAAAAATAGGCCTTCTTAGGGCCCGCGGGCGATGTTAAAATACACATGTATTGACGATTCGATTTCCCGTGCCACCGTTCCCCTTAAAAGAAGAAAGTGTCGCGACGATTATTTTCTAAGTACTGTATTTTATACAGAGAGNCACGTATTTGTAAAATCTAAGTGACTCGTACAACAGGGAATTCATATAAAACGGAATTATCAACAGTGTTATGGGGGGGTCGACTGTACAGACACAAATGAGGAAAAATTGCTTATTGTCTAAGACTGAATTATTAATAAACGAGAAAGATACACAGTACCTTCAAGCTTTTGATTAGTTTTAAAATTTTGATAGTTTCAGCCGTTACTTTAGCATCGGTTTCTTCTTTCACTTTTTTTCCTTCTATATTTTCTTCCTCCTCTTCTTCCTCGTAGTCGTCGTCCTCTTCGCTTTTACTTTCAACATTATCTTCCTCTTTCTTTACAGCTGTTTTCTTCGGAATGGATAGCTTTTTTCTATTTTTCTTCTGTCTTATTAAATTACCGCTGCCTTTTTTCAATTTAAGTATTTTATCTGTTGTAGCTGTTAACCTGTTCAGATTACTATAAAATATATAAAAATTGCTTATGAATCAAAATAAATCTTACAAAATTGCAAAGACGAAATTAACACTCGCATGTTTATTTTAGTTGGTTGTTGGGTGTTCTTGCTAATCTGTTCTGGGCTAAACGATGAGTTTCTTAAACTCTGTTTAGAAAAAACTGAGGAAGATCGATTGTCGGTCGCTAATTTCTGCTCCTCTTTATCTGATTTTTTCGTTATCCTTTCCTTTATTAATTTCTGTTTCGTTTGGTAGTCTGTACCTTCATCCGAAATCATTTGGCCTGTATTTTCCAACACTCTAAATTCCTGTAAAAGAAGAAAGAATATATTGTATACCATAGGTTTGAACCTTTATTACCTACAATACACTCAATACTTGTCAAATTATAATTGTTTTCTTACAGATTGTATGAACTTGTAAGGACTATCATAAAAATTAATTATCTACAAAAAAATGCTTTTTAAAAACACGTATGTAATAAAAATTTAATTATAAAATACCTTTTTATTATTAAAATCTTTAGAAAATTGTTTACTGTAAGCTTTTAATAATGATATCAAATCAGGAAATATTTCACCGTCTCTTTCATAATTAAGATCGTTCTTGCTTTTGTCGAAACCCTTGAAAGAAAAAATAAGGTTCGGTTGAAATATTTCTAATGCGTTTAATTAATGAATAAACCTTATTTCAAAATACGTAAACGTTCAATATTAAAAATGCATTATTCACAGTAAAAGTTATTTGTGGTTATAATAGATCGGGACATTGATCCTCTCTCATCCGTGTTAGCTGAGCTTATGATAAACATCTGGCTCACTAGAATGGATGAAAGTTTGATGCCTTTCAGGTGTTACGTGTCAAACAACGACTACCCAATAATCCTTATAATTACGACAGCGGTTTTGGATTCGAATCTAATTCTAATCTTAAAGACTTTATACGGTAGTTCGAGGGTGGCCGTATTGTTTTTATACTGGTGTCACAAATAAAAACAAATCTGAGTACAGTAGAGTCTATTGTAGTAATTAGTACTGTTTATAAAGTGTTAACTCGATATAACATTTTTAATTTTGAATATTTTAAAATTTTTTTTTTGTTATTACTGAAATAAAAAGATTTAGCTAACTTTATTTAAAAAACATCCGTTTGTATTGTACGTGACGGATAGCGAGGATCCGTCAGAAAGTTCGACCATTAAATAAGCAATATCTCCGTGTAATTGTCTCCATAATGGTGCAGATTTACCAGTGCTGGGTATCAAATACGTATCTGAAAAGGCAATACGTATTTAAAAATTCATTATAATATAAATATTTATAGAAATTTTTTTTTAAAAACTTACCAATTGCAAAATTTGTAAATCGTATAGCTTGGCTTTTGGAATAAGTATTAAATGCATCTAATAAATTTAATTCTTTTTCTAGAGTTTCTTTATTTAAACGTATATTCCTGTTTTAAAATATTTAATAACATTAATAAGTTTACAGGTATGTGACTTTCCCAAACTGGTGTTATCGTGTGCGTATAAGATATTACACAAATCTTGACCAGCATATACAATAGAGCAGTGGCATTACTAAATTTATTGGTGATGTCGCGATGAACATCGACAAAAGTGAGAATAGGAACAGTTCGGAGGATGACACCGAACAAGAAAGCTGACTATAGACTATAGTAAGTAATTATAGTGTATGTAGTATATGTGCACAGGGGCAGGCTTAAGCCTTGGGGCTAACAAGTGTCAAGGCCCACAAAAATTGATTTATCATCATAAATATATCCGCCCCTGTATGTGCACTATTATTAATACAAATGTGTTAATAATTTACTATAAAATCCTGAAATAAGTTACAAATAAGACACGAGTGAATCGTGTTATTTTACAAAATCAAAGTTTTGAGTGATGTTCACGCAAATATATCCACGAACTTGCATATTGCAGATTGAATTACGGTGTTGTTTAATTTCTGAAATCTTTGATGATGGTACTTGACAGACAAACGCAATATATTTTATGTATTCGTGAAGAATAATTCGGTTTTGAATGATTGTATCAATAACATAACACCTTCATCCGCTCGTATCTTCAATTATGGAATATGGCAAAACATTACAATGCACTCAATTATAAAATTTAAAACTATTCTCCCGTTACGTACAGTAATGAGAATGTAATAAAACTGCTACAAAACCATTTTTTGGAACTTCTCGCACATTCTGAAGTGCTGTTTTAAGTGATATTGGCGTGGTATCATCCACTGTATTAGGCTGCGGCTTGAGTCTGCTACAGTGGATGATAGATCTTCCAGTTCTAAAGTTCATTTTTTAGCAAACAATGAATTAAATTAAATAATTATAATGGTGCCATTACATAGACTAGCACCGCAGTTACTTCATCGGTTCTCATTGATATTGCCAATTCAATTGATATTGCTTCTGCTAATAGTTTCCCCGATGCCACGATCCTCCACGCTCATAATGCTATGTTTACAACAAACTTTCAACAGATAATAAGCTATATTGCAACCCCGAATAATATTTTAAGAGGCTAGGCTATTATTTGAATAAAAGATTTAAATTCTTACCTTGACATTTCCTTTACTATAACTTTTAATAAATGCGTATCAAATTGTTGAAGTATCATCAACAACTGCAGGGAATCGGAATTAAGCTTAGAATCATATAAATGTTTTTTAACCGATTCCATTTGATCCTTTTTCTTTGCCTCTTGCTAGAAAATGTCAAATTATAATTTTTGTCAATTTTACTTTAACAAGAACTTTATAAACGATACCTCAGTAGCTAGATCTATATAAGGGAAGATCCCTTTATTTACTTCTTCGACATTAGCAAATGCATCACCAAGAATGTTGACGAGAGGATCAGGATTTTCTATATGGAATTTAACAAATATTACGTTTTTATCGAATTACAGTATTTTATTTTTTAGTGCGATCTTAAGTAAAAAATATCCTTAGAGAAATGCAAAATTCACAAGTGTTAGAATTTCAACTGATGATACTATGAAAGTCATCGATATATCAATGATCTTCAACTATTTTACGATCAAGCAATGTTTGACCATTAATGAACAATTAGATCAAAATCGTTATCAAGATAATAGTCGAAGATCATTATCATTGTCTTGATAATGATTTTGATTCAACTCTTCATTTATCCTTAACCGCTTGATCCCGAAAAATAGTTGAAGATAATCAAGGTCAGATCAATCAATCATTAAATCTTTAAACATTAAAAATAAATAAAGAATTAGATCGAAATCATTTGATCCTGCTCTATTCGTTTAACGTAAAGATTCGTTCTCCAAATATTACATGGTACAAAGAATTAATGTTATTAAGTATACGCCTATTAATTCCAGTTATTTTTTTAAAAAATACCTTCGAGACAACATCTAACTTCTTCTGTAGCTTCGTAAGAACCCGCGATTCTAATAACTGTCTGAGCTTGTTTAAATGAAAAAATGTGAAGTAAACCTCCTCCTCCTCCTGGTAAATTGTGTATTTTTATATCTTCTTTCGTTAATTTGTCAAAATCGCTGAAAATAATTTCAGTTTAATTAAGGTAAAGAAGAAGGATTTTAATGTTATTTCTTATTAATATCTTTTGTTTAATCATCAGTTTTTTTGAGATATACTGCACTGTACATTGCAAATTTAGAGGATAGTAAAGAATTTTAATTATACTACGATATATATTGGATAAAAATGACATTCAATACAGAAAAGATGTATTGGATGTTAATTTTTAATTGTATATTTTGATGATAAGTGGTAAATGAGAGCATAGCGAAGGAAAAATTTAACATTTAACCATGTTTTTTTTTTGGGCCTCAAGTTCAAAAAGAACAGTTAATTTTGGCTGTCACCCAAAGGAAGATTACTGACGAATAAAATACATTCCTATAAAATACAGATTCATATTTTAAATTACACTATTTGTATCTTTTCGGATTCCTCAGCAGTAGAGGTATATTTTTCTTTCGAGGAACCCAGATTTGAATTCAATTCCGAATCTTTGTATTATTTATGAGAAATATGCATGATTATTCCTCCCTCACGATCTCACCATATTCTTTTTTTTTCCACTCTTTCTACCCAGTGGGCACTAAGAGGGCCTTTATTCCGGATCCATCACGAAAGTGTTAATCTGGAAACCATAATTTTACCATTTACAGAAGATGGATTCAGGAATAATGATCTTCAAAATAAAAGTTGCCCAAATACTCTTAGTTTCTTGAAATACCTCAAGAATTATATATCAAGAAAGTATCCGAGAATTAATTGTCTTCTAAGTAATTCTTGAACTCGGGTGAGGGTTGGATTCGAAGGACATAACATTTCGGTTTATTCGTCCAAAAAATCCTTTTTAAGTGGTTATATAAAAGACTTTTTTTTATGCTAGTAAAAAAAATTAATTTTATTATAGAACTTTTTAAAAATTCTGTCCATCCTGCAGATACTAAGACAATCTTAAACCCGTTACGGTTTCGGCCACGTTCACAACGGAGAAGGCCAAGTGGGAAGGGACCACGACATAGAATGAAGCAACTAAAAATTGGAATTAAATCTCTGAATCAAACAATTTAAAAATTAAAATAGGAAAAAATATATATATATTTAATTATGTTAATCTAATTTAAAAAATAAACATAAGAAATTTCATACTCTGTCTGATTTACTCTAGGAGAGAAGTTTTCTTCTCTTAGTTTCGTGTGCCATATCAGAGGTGATTTAAACTTTAAATCCGATTCTCTTTTGTAATTTTTCGTAAATTCATTTAACCAATCGACAATTTCTCGTAAGATAATTTTATTGATGCGCGTATACTCCAACCCGACTCTTCTGTCGTCGGCGACTGTACTACGGCGATAATAGTGTGATATGGCTTGACCCATTTTTTATTAATTTGACGTAAAACGACTGAAAATAATCAATTAATTAAAAATAATTACATGGTTAATTTGTTATTATTAATTTTTTTATGAAACCTGCATCTTAATGGAAACCTGGATATCTATCTATCAAAGAATTAGAAATTACGCAAAATTTATTTATTATAGAGGTAATACCAGTTTTAAAAGGACCAAGGACGGTAGAGCTATGAGCGGATTATTATTATTAATAGTCAATAATAGATTAGGTAATATAATATATTCGTTGAGATGTTCAAATTTAATCTTTTTATTGGTTAAATTAGATTTAAAAAAAATAAAATTTCTAATTTGCCAAGTGACTTTCTGACCATTATAGTATTGTATAATGGTCAGGAATTCCTCCTTGTGATAATAGTAATAGTATATTCGATTATTTGGACGACGTATTGGAGAATTGGATTTAGGTCACTCCTTTATGGATAATTTAAGGCGATTTTAAGGCTAAAATTGGAAATATCTTAGAAACGACCTAGTATGACGATAATTCTAAACTTTTTCCCCTGGAAAACTTTTTGCAGACGCCCATGGCACTAACACTGAACTTTTTTAAGGTTTTATTAATCCACAGACATGAAACAAAGAAAAACATCAATCAGCTCTGTTGTTCTCATCTTCATTTTCATTGTCTCTCTCGACTGTCTTCTAGCTTAGGAGTCCATCAGGTAAAACTATTGAACACTGGTAGTTAGTCGTGGGTTCGCGCCTCGCAAACATGGAGTCTTCACGTTTGTAACACCCAAATAGGGGCCATTTTCCCTATAGAAAGTCCTCCCAGAAGACACCCCCCCTCGGCAGATCGCCCGCGTGTCGCGTTGCCATATACAACTTATCCAGCTTAGGATGGTGTAGAACACCATATGTAAAGAATCCACATGACCCACTACTTTTCGAATTTCCTTTATCTTTTTCATTTTAATGAGCAACTAATCTTGAATAGGAGTCGCAGATAAGTTGGGATACTTCTGCGCCTTTAAAACATTGAAGAAAGCGCTAATAAAATCGTACATGAACTCCCATAAACAACCACTTCTCGATAATCGAACGAACTTGCGAGCATTTTGTACCGAGAGAGAGAAACGTGGCTTTTCCTTGTAACTTTTCCCACGACTCGATAGAAACACGGGATTTTTCTCCGCAGTTCTGTATTATCTGTACATATTCTTCTGAAATGTAAATTCGAGCAGCTATTTTTGTTTTTCATTTAATTGTTCAAAAATTCCTATCGCGGGGGAGGTAAAAGAGGCATCATACCGGAAACAACTGGCGCACACTCTGAAATCTTTCGTTAGAAGTCAAGATTAGCTGCAGATGAGTGAGTGCATTGTTTCTGTTTGTCCATCACACGCGTCAAGCAAAGAGGTGCTGCTCTTTCATTTCACTTCGAATGGAACATCATATTCAATGTAATTGAAGAGAAAAGTGTACACCTCATTCGGCCCTTTCTTTTTAATACCTTCAAGATAAACAAAATTTGCACTGCTGTCTTTCGAATCGTGAATTCAGAATACGATGACGCATAGCTGTCGTAAATATAATACTTTTTGTACCGGGATATACACTAATGTGTTTCAAAATAGGAACCCATTTTGTAACTAAACGAAAACAACAATAGCCATTTCCTGATAACTTTAAATATACTATTGACTGTCACAGTTCAAAGCGAAAACAAAGTGAACCAGACATCATATAATGATTTGCCTTGTTTTGATCCTCGCGTATTCATTTATAATTATGTAAAACAACGAATTGTTATTGTACTGTACAAGAGAGATAAAACGTAGTGGTACAGCAAGAAAAAATTATCAAGTTAGAGATGCCCACTACTATAAAGAGATTGAAAATACTGGGTTAATGCCTGGGCTTAATCTGTATAAGTATTAAACCATTTAATCACAGGCATTATAATCTAGGTATGAGCTAGATTGACTAGTTTATCTGTTAAACGATACTCGTAGGACTACAATATTAACCATTGAAATCTTTATCCTGAGGATTTCAAATAAAAGAAAAAACAATGACGACAAATATGTAAAAGATTATATATAATTCGTGAACCTATACACTCGTAATAAAATATATAATTATCTGTAAACTGTATAAATATAATTTAATATAATACTATATGACGTAGAAAACAAAAAATCCCCCGCTTTTGCGACCCAATCGGTTTTGTAGGTAAACAATGTTATTGACATATTGCATATCATAAATTGAGGATACGTTCCTCGAAACAAACAGCTTTATTGGTCTCTGTGAAATCGCTCACAAGAGGCCAATAAAATATACGTTGTTTCGTAAATCTGTCGTAAAAGCGGGAGATCGTAAAGTCTACAGTCGTACATTAGGAATAACTTTTTAAAATAAATAACTCGAAATTCGAAAACTTACAATACGATTATAAATATGTCATTTATAGCCTAAGGAAAACTATTTGGATGAATTCTAGATTCTTCGTGTCAAAACTTACTACAAATGAATCGAAAGACACGTGTTCCTGTATATTTTAAGCGACCGTATATAGAAAAACATTGTTGCTATAGCTCCTAGAAGATATATCGATTATCCCTTGTAGGTCACCCGATTAAATTAGCTTTATTTTATTTTTCAAAAACTATTTACTGTATAATTGTTTCAATTTTTAAAAATTTTTATTTATTTTAGGATTATTTTTCAATAAAATCAGTATTTTCGTGTAAAGAAATAGTTATTTGAATTAAATAGCAACTAGTTATCTACATAATCAAGGATCCGAGGGGGCAAAAAGAGCAAATTTTCCCTGACCCCGAGGAAGTTTAAGATCCCTATACAATGTTTTTTGTTTACTTTAATATCGTAATAGTATAGGGCCCCAGTATGTATTTTGTCCGAGCTCTCGTTATCCTCTGGGACGTCCTGTGTACAATGATCGAAATACTGTATTAATTTAAACTGTAATTAATAATTACAAATTAACAATTAGTTTAGGGGTCGTTCATTCATTAAATGTGTAATTTTTTTAGCAACTTTTATCTTCTCCTTCCCTGTTTGTGAACAAATGCACAATGACATACGTTTGACAAATCCCCTCCCATATTAACTTACATATGTACTACAATAGTTCACCGACCTCCGTTATTGAAGAACAACGAGCTAGAATATACTACTACATAGATTGGCTGTGACTTTAGATACAGCGCTCTTGGTGACAACGACGAGTACTATCGACCGCCATTTTACTTTAAGTCAAAACATCGAAGTCTATACCACGTGTTGGACATCATTGTCACTTTAGAATCTATTTTTCTCATCTAAATCTAGTTTTGTTTGCCCCTAGATTTAGGCAATTAGATAAGTGATATAAATCTATATTGTTTCATCTTGAATTCAGCTATTTTATAAATTTTATTTAATTATTATAAAGAATGTGAGATCAGAGTTTAAATTGGCAAGTGTAGTACTTAACCCTTAATCTATATATATATATATATATATATATGGACATGTGTGTCCCTATATTTCACTTTTTAGCCAAAACTTCACATTGCACATGAATGGTGTTTGCATGTGGTAGTAGCCCAAGTCTCCATTCATGCACTATGGTGGTTGCATCTTGATAGCTATAAGGGTGCGGGAGATATGGGGTTGAAAGTGGTTGACTTCGAAGATGTGTAACAATGGAAGTGTCAATAATAGAAGTGTTAACAATGGAAGTGTTGAGTAACAAAGGAAGTGTTAATATAAAGCAGCATGCAAGATTTACAGGCGGTTTTTTGCGTTTTTGCNTTTCGATAAGTATTACTAAATAATGTAGAAAAAACAAAAATTTGCTGCACAAAATCTAAAAACAAAGAAATTAAGCGAAAGGAATACACTTCACGCGGATGCTTAAAACCAATTTGCATAATCGTGCGAAATTTGTGACGTAAAAATGATGACATGACATCGCCAGATTTGTAAAAATTAAAAAAAAACATAATAAATCTTATAAAATCAAAATTATTAATGTAAAAATAGTAAGTTTGCTTCCTTTTTCACTTAAAACAACTAATCTGTTTTAACTTAAAAATTTTCAGACGAAATCAGGATTTAGATCGCACCCGTTGACTGGCGTCCTGATAACCAGAAAGTACCAAAAAACAAACTTTTAGATGAAACATTCTTGAATTTATCGGAAATTACGGGCGTTTGAGTTTTTACGCGGCTAACAACAGTGCACGCTTGTGTCTGTAGACATTGGTAAGGTTCTTTGAAAAAAGGAAGCGCTTTAAAGTGACAACCGATCTATCCGTAGAATCAGGATCCGATCCGAACGGGTAGAAAAACCACAGGAAATTTTCGGAGTTGTCTGTGCAAACAGGTCAGGCCCCATCCCAGATTATCCTTTCGTACTGTGCCCGTAACGGGTTGGATAAAAATAGGCCTTCTTAGGGCCCACGGGCGATGTTAAAATACACATGTATTGACGATTCCGTCGATTTCCCGTGCCACCGTTCCCCCTTAAAAGAAGAAAGTGTCGCGACGATTATTTTCTAAGTACTGTATTTTATACAGAGAGAGTAAATTTATCGTAATTTTATTATAAGTAGCTTATATTGTGCACAAAATCGTTTCTGTACTATTCCGTATATAATATTTTTCAAACAATGAAATATATTTTCCCGAATTTTTTATTTTTGGCACGCGCAAGTGATATAGGGATGGGTAGTGTTTTCTGGGTGGACTTTCTACGAGGAAAAACCCCCTAGTTAGGTGTCAGAAACGTGAAAATCTGAAAAACATGCATCGCACCCATCGTTGGGGCTTTATTCCTCACCGACTATCGGTATTCGGTAGTTTTATCACATGTTTATCGACACCGGGCTGTTTAGGGTAAGTTTCGAACGAGTTAATCTGTGTTTGGAAGAGCCAATTAATTAAAGGAACCGTTGTCAATCGAACTCTAATATTTTATTACGTTGGTATCATAATTTTCGGAGGGCTATATCTCGTGAAGGGTCGCGCGTAGGGGTATGGTTCCTTTGACTTTTTTGTTCGCACGGGGAGGCTACACTTTGGGGGGTCGCCACTCCCTCATTCGGAGAGTAAATCTTACCGTCGTCTTGATTTTTCTTACGATTCCGGGTTCGAATACATATAGTTATCAACATTTTAACGGAATCTATATTTTTGTTTCTTTCAAAGATTTCCATCGACTTTAATTTATGAGTTTAATTAATAAATGTTTTGAATCGCATTTTTTTACTTTGTTTTTAGAATCAAGAGTCGTAAATGTGGATATCTGCTGTAGTCTATCGTATTAATTCTATATAATTAGTTATTTAAAGTAAAAAATCAAAAATTATTTTTATCGATAACTGGACTCACCTTCGTTTATTCTTCGGTAAATAGAATTCAATATTCTTTTCTCGAATTATTTAATTTTGAAAAAAAAGAAGGCAAATCTAATGACCTAAGTCAAAATCTGTGCGATTCGACGAACGGAATCGAATAATTTTTAAATTTTAAAAATGCGGAGCTTGTTTAGAACAGAAATGACGTAAATATATATACTTTGTATATCTCATTCAAAAAATATAATATATATGCATATATACAGGGTATACTATATTTTTTTGGTCTTATTCCATTTTACTGTAAAGCCTTCAGCTTGTGACATCTGGAATAATACTGTACTGCAAATGCCCCTTTTTACACTATATTAATCCTTTTAAAGATAACTCACATTTCTTTTGGTCACTCCATCACTCCAATATAATTATTCTTTATTTCTAATTGCTTGTTTTCATGCGATATTTTGCACACGCTTGCTTTCTCTCTTCTTTAACATATCTTTGTCAATCTTCAATATATTGTAAATATTTGGCGCTTTTTTTAGAGCCTTTATGCTCTGCCATTTCTTTCATGATGTTTATGTTCTTATTAAAAGTAAACATTGTGGTGGTATTAAGTCTACTGTTTTGAGTCTTTGCTTGCTTCCTTTATAACTTCTAATCAGTCCTGTTGTACTAGTTTTGTATCCCAGGATTTTGACCATTTCATGAATTCTACCAAGTTTCTTCAGTCTGTCATGTGCATTTCTATTGATACAATACAAACATGCTCTTCTAACTGTTATATGTTGTATACTGCACTATTAAGACGACTAGCAAACCTAATGTAATACAACTAAACACTTTACAAGAGGAGACACACGTGGTGTGCTCTACGACTGACGATGGACGACTGCTGGGGTCCCACTAGTACATATTGTAACACTAACCAGGACCCGGAATGCTGCCAGTTTGTATCAATAAGGGTCACACGAATTAGATGGAATGTAGAGTGAGCTATGTGTTGCTGTAACGTATACGCAGGTGACTAAATTGCCTCTTTTTAAATTCGATATTTATATCTTTGAAAAATGTATATTTAATGAACTCTTTTTTTTCATTTTAGTTTCAGCCCTATCTTGTTACTATTAATCTTATCTAGAAATTCACTAACTCTTTTTTTATTTTTCCAAATAATACAAACAACATCGTCCATATATCTTTTAAAATATACGATATTCTCTTTGAAATCATTAAGACTGCTTTTCTCCAGTTTTTGTAACCCCAGTTCACATAACAATCCTAAAACCTTAAATCTAGTTTCTCCTCAAAACCTAAGGAAACTGAATTTAGGCTCTAGAATTTAATTAAGAATTTATAAATTTTACTATCTCTATTTAAATTTCTAAAATATTTATCTTTAAGCCAAATGGATGTATTAATAGGTTATAGTTGCTTCTTTTATTGTCTGGTAAAAATCAACCTTAGATAAAGTTTCTCAACTTCGCTGCCGTTTTTTTTTTGTGATTTCTTCGTCATTCTTCTCTTTTTTTCCTTTCATCTATCCATCTTAATCTCTTTTCTTTCAGCTCTAGTTTTTTCTCTTTTTTTTATTTGTTTTTAATAATTTCTTCAAACATACCATATAAAAGATTAACTATTAAAGGATATTACATAAATATAGAAATTTCTTGATAGTACAAAATTACCCTTCTCATATTACATTTACCAAAAACATTAAATTCCTGAAAATTTTACTTTCTGGCATTCTACAACAAAACTCTTTAGATTAGTAATGGGGGCGGATTAAGATTTGGCAGGGTCCCCTTGCCTAGATGATCGCTGGCCTCTCCTAGTAATTTTACCACACCATAAACTAATAAGGCGTAATTGTAACCGTTAAATCTATATCTATAAATAAGAATGTTTGCTTATTTGTTTGTTTGTTCGCTATGTACTCCTAGACCGTTCGACCAATTGCTAAGAAACTCGTTAGTTCTTTGAAAATACCATTAACTTAGATAACGTCATATATACTATCCCAAAATATTCATTGGATTTCCACATATTAATTATTTTTTATTTACTTTTAATTTGCTGGATTTAGATGTAGCGTCATGTAGTGGCAAATTTTTAAAATAATAAACTATATATAATTCATACAAAAAATATATCATTTCAAAAAACAAAACAAATATTATATTCACTTAATTTCTGCGACATTGATATAGCGCGAAGTAGACCATCCTGCGTGATATCAAAACTGGTACATTGGTAGTTCGTCGTGGGTTCGCACATTGCAAACGGGCTGAGCACGTAGAGTTTTCCGGGTTTTCTTCAAGTTAGTAGCACCTAAATAGGGGATAGTTTCCCCATAAAACTCTTCCCAGGAATAATTCCCCTGAGAAGATCGCCCACGTGTCGCATTGACGTATGCAAATGAATCAAACTAATACTAATATTTTTTTTATAAACTCGTTATTTACAAGAACATACGTCCCACGTACTTATAGGCATTCTGATGAATTTCTTAAAGATTCTGACGGATATTTTCAAAGTAAATGAAGCCGATTTATGGATTAATTTCTGATGATCAGGCCCGCCGCTTAAATGTTACGGATTTAAGTAAAACGACGATACGGGATGCCTGAGATGGATTTCTCGGTCGAAGTCCAATCGTTGGAAAATTCCATTTAGATTTTTAACGAAAAGGTAAATCAGGTGTCTCGAGTCAGTATTATCAACAGTATTACAGAAAAAATTTTTAAAAGTATAGTTTTATAACCTAATAATCTTAATCTTCGATATCGTTACTTTATGCCTGACCAACACCGGGCTTATCTGCTAGTATATACAGTATATAGATTATTATTTTTAGATTATACACGTTTTTGATAAATGTTGACTTGCCAAATACTTCTGTTCGGTGTACTTAGTCTGTGGAAAATCTTATATAATTTTCACACATTAAGCCACAAAGCCACGTCATTTTGTGGTAGATTTTTTTTTATTTCCAGAAACTGACCCCGATTGCTTGACAGAATAACAATCGGGGAGTAAAACTGGATATTCGTTGCTATTCGATTAATTCATTAAACTGAAATCGATGGCAAAAAATCCAATTATTATGTTATTTTAATCAAATCTTTTTTTGGAGGAATTCTCATAAAAATTTCTCAATTTAAAATAAATAAAGCGACGAATAAAAGATTACACTAAAAATGTAAATAAAACTAATATAAAAACGTAGGCCTATATATAACTGATGTAGATCAAAGAGTCTCTCGTCCTCAAACTGAACATCAATTTATATCCCAAAGGTCTTTCAACACCCAAATGACGATCTGTCAGTCGTCATGTTCTCTACAGAAGAGAAAACCTTTGTTACCAATCGTAAATTGTTTTTTAAAACGAAATGTCAAAACTAACCTGAAAATAGAGTACAAGTGTATATTTTAATCTTTCAGACCATACCATATAAAAGCCTTTGGGTCTTCAATAGAAAGTGTGTTAATCACGTTCTATAGAACTTTTAGTTAAACTTCAGAGTACATAACATTACTGCCATCAACCAACGTTAGAATTGGCGGTGTCTCATTCATTTCCGTGTTGATTCTAGTGCGGGCGATCTGAAAAACGGCCATTATTTTCTTCTTTGTATAATTAGATAATTTACTCACTGTTAGAAGTTCTCCTTACTTTGAAACCCGAACTGTGCGAATGCCTATCTTCTCTTTTCCTGCTAACAAAGAAAAATAAATAATGCTTCGAATACTACTTATTGTCGAAAAATAGAAATATTGTTAATCAATTGTTGACTTTCTTTACGTAATTTTTCAAGGACGGATGGCAGAGGGTTAAGGTGACAGTACAGCTCTCTAGGGGATCGAATCTGGACCAGTCGAGAAACCTTAGGAAATATTTCATGGGCAGACCATTTCAGATACGTCTGGCTCCTCCATCATCATACGGCTGCCCCATTGTGCTTGACCGAAACCGTAATGGTTTTGATAAAAAGGCTTTGTTACCACCCACACAGGATGGAAACAGTTTAAAAAATGTGTTTTAAAATGAAAATTAAATCTACACTATATATTCTTCTATGTATATAAACGAGGATGTTTGTTCGTTCGTTCGCTATACACTACAAGGCCGTTCGACCAATTGCTACGAAACTCGGTAGTTACTTTCAAATACTTCTAACTTTGATCATGCTGTACGTCCCTCCTCAAAATATCTAAGTATTTCTATAAATCAATTAATTTTTATTTAGTCAATTTTTGTTACACGTCGCGCCATCTACTGGCAAAAAAGTTAACAAAGTAATTAACTATAATTTTTTAAAAATATATTCTATACTCGTATTATAGTCACTGAATTACTGCGACAATGATATAGTGCGAAATATATGGCGCCATACTCCATTACTGCGACAGGTAGCACATAACATTTGCCTACGTGGAATGTAGTAGTGTTTTTTCCCTGTACATCATACTTTTCCTGTTAGCAATAGAGTCGTGCCAGTTGTGTATCTAACTCCGTTCGAGGGAAATTTTTGTATTCAAATAACACGACTTACGATACAAATCGGATGTTAATATATAGGTAATCTGGTTCTTTTCTCTAGGAACCACGATCGATCCCAATCTCGCTGTCATTCCTACATATTTATGTACAGTATTTTGTATTAAATTGAACGTTATCTCATAACGAGGAGACGATTTGTGTTAAATACTTTATTAATAATTTAAACGGTAATATAAACAAATTATTAACCATTTGTATAGTTTAAATCAAACAAGACAATATATTTAATATCGACAGTAAATCAAAATTTCAAATCGATAACACACACATATTTTTCCCCCCTTAGAATTTAAGCTTAAATTAATATTCATTAGAATCCGATGTTAATTACACTTATAAAAAATACTTTTGACCCGATAAAAGATAAGAATTTGTGCTAATGGTGAATTTTTGGATCCTCGTACAGTTTTACCAGACGATAAAATGATTAGTTTGGCAATTTAGAAACTTTTCCCTCGTCGTAGAGAATTTTTCGGTCGCATAATTCATCAGAAAAAAGAAGTTTTTAAGTCTTTCAACCGAATTCACATTTGTGAAGATGCACACTTCGAATAAATTGTCCTTCCTGTTCCATCGTCCGATGAGGTTCTCTGCAGAAACTATCGAGAAAAGAAATGACTAATTTAAGACATCCTCCTTTTTAATGTAATTTTTCTAATTAAGGTAGATTTTTTTATATTAAATTATAAACTTTTAGTCCGTTCGATAAACTTTAATTAAGTTAATTTACTAAGTGAAAAGTTACTCTTCTTTGCGATTTAAATAACGTTTAAAACGTTTTTAGAATTAACAATTAAAACATAATTCTCGTTAACTTTTGACAGGCAGTGTAGATTCGAAGCAGGGCTGTAGAATCGTTTAAAAATCTACCGTCTCCGATAAAATACAAAGAGAGGAGGAGGACTGTCTATGGGAAACCAACCCCTGTTTACTTCTTGGATACGTTTGGAGAAATCTATTATTTTATTAATATTTATAAAATATAAGGAGACTATTAATATCTATTTATTTTCACCTAATTAAATAATTAAAATAATTAAATATTTAATTTATTTAATTAGTAAAATTCACCGTTGATATCTATCGCCAGAAGTTTAATTAGGTAGACGTTTATTTAAAAAAAATAATATATAAACTATTAATAGTTTGTCGGAATCGGCTTTCAATATTTAAAATTGATTTAATTAAGTTTAGTATTTAAAACTTTATACATGTTTATACTCTGCATTTGATGGTTAAACGGATAAAACAAACTAAAACACTTGGTCGCTGTATCGTTATCCTGACCAAAATGTACGTTTTATTATTGTTTTATTCACCATTGCATAGCATCACTTCTAAAGTGCTGTGTGGTCATTTTTTCTTTGTTTTTGTAATTGTCCAATTGTTTTATTCTGTTTTAAAATTTACTTACACTGTATCCCTTCATCAGTCGAGTCACTCTAAATTTACGCTTTTCTTCATTTACAGTTTGGTTACTCTGTCGTATATCAGATGACGTTATAACGGAATGGTATATGGCGCCGGACAAAAAACACGTATATCCGGGACCCCAATACGTCTTACGCAAGTTGTCAATAAAGTTAACACCACGCAGAAAGAACGACTAAAAATACGGATCTTTCCTTCCACAACCAATTAATTAATTACTGGGTTAAAGGTCGAAAGTGCGGTCGTTCTTATTAAATATATTGAGTCACCGTTAAAGGATGAAGCGAATAACGTTGCCGGCCCGAGTAAACCGACTTCTATAGTGGAAAGGAGAGTGAAAAATACGAAAAATATTCCAATTTTCCTCGGTATATTTTTATAGAATTTTCCAATAATTTGCTAGCTCGACTCGAAAAAATTCGTAGAAACGATTGGTTTTTTTTTTTTTTTTTTTTACGTTCTGACCAATTTACCGGTTACCTGGAAATTCGAGAAAATCCAAATGTTTTAGGTGGGGTAGCGCAAGGTTTACCTACGGACACTGTGGTGGCGCGAGTTATTCTTTTGCTCGTCTGTCTGACCGTCCTCAGATCTCTCCATTTTTTCCTTATAACCGTGGTCACCTACGGGAAAAATAAGAAAAAAATACAAACGGAGGAAAAATTTATTTGTCCGTTCCAAACTCTTCCGTCTTCTTCGACGTATAAGTTATTCGTACGACGTTAGTAACATGGACAAAACCACGCCCCGTCCCGTTCGACGGATTAAACGCTATGGCCTATCGATTTTCGTCGTACGAATTTCGTTTAATCTTTGCCGTGTAGACCGAATAAACATTGTAAAAATGAAATAAATATCTTTTTAAATTTAAATAAAATTATTTACGTCGATTTATACGGAAGTTACTTAAAGACGTACCTGGTTTTCTTAACTTACCTCGCCGTTGAAGAAACAAAACAGGAGAGAAACGCAAAAACCCTTTAAGATATAAATTACGCCGTATTTTTATGTACGTATTATTTAAATTTTTAAATCTTTCTTACTATATTTTTTGCCTTACTTGTAAAGATGTGGCGGTTGCCGATATCACTTCGTATACTACCTCTCCCGAAGATCCTTGCACCGGTCTGAACGGTGTCAGCAAGTAATGTAATCCCAAAAGAGGAATGAGTATGACCGTAGCTCGAACGGCCTTCCTTCCAGAAAAATAATTTATAAAAATATTATTTAAAAAAAGTCGTAAAATATTCTTCTAAAGTTAAAAAGAAATCTATAAATTTACCTGGTTTGATTATTAGCCGGAGAATTTACGGAATGTAATTTTGAAAGCAGCACCCGAATAATGTTGATTAAAAATATTAAATTGAGCTGTAATATTTTTTAAAATTATATATAAAAATGAATATTTGTATATAAATTTAATTAACATTAAAAACTTCTATAATATTTACCAACATCGAAGCGCAGACGGGTCCGGAAAGAATCCATAGATATATACTTTCTTCGATCCAACAGCTAAAGTAAACGGGGTTTATTTTATATTTATAAGACGATATATATATATATATATTAAATCCGGTATAATTTATAAACTTACTAAGCTACTGACGTCGATATAAGACCTCGTAAAATAGCATAGAGGATGGTTAATAGAAGAGGAATCCCTAACGAGTAATAAGAAGTAATTATGTAATTGATTCCACGTACTGTACAGTACGTCCGTCGACGCATAATATAAAATATTTTTGTTTTAAAGGAAAATAAGTTAGTTTACGATATATAAATATAACAAAAAAAGGGATAAACTCACCCCATCCCAAGAAATAGAACCATTTCATCAGCCTGGATTCGGAAACGAATGCGATAACAAGAATCGTGTGCAAATATAAACCTTCGCAAAACATCCAAAAATAGTTGGACACCATAAAGTAGTGTACGATGACGTGTAAAATTTGACACCACGCCTATTTAAGAAGGGATTTAAGTGAATTCTATGCGAAAATATTTAACTTAATCCTTCGCAAAAAAAATAATAATAACTCACCTCGTTCGATACTAGAATGTCAGGTTTTTGCACCACTTGAAGATACCAAATAATCCAAAACACGTTATTAATCAAAAACGAAAGAAAGAGATTTTTATGTATGGTCGTCCTCTTGCACTGAAGTGCTCTAAGACAACGTAAATTTTGAAAATATTTTTCGTATTTATTGATTAAATTCTCGAAAAAAAAGCTTAATATATTTAAATTAAATATATTTCTTACCTGAAATAGCAAAAAATGAACAAAGATACCAATAATGCTACCAGAGACAACGAATATCCGATAACATACAACGTATTGATCTGCTGTCGGAACTGAAGAACAAAGCAAAAAAATTAAGAAATTTTACTAAGTTTATCATATGAATAATACTAAAAATTAAAAAAAAGTATTATTAATTTTAATTTAAAAAGTATTTAAAAATTTTTCTTTAAATATATATTATTATTTAAATTGGAATTAAAAGTATTAAAGTATAGTCTACTCCAAAATAATACTACGTTGTTAAGTGTCATAATTTATCTTGCCACTACGAGTCGTTAAAACTGTTTTAAAACAAAATTTCTTTTCTAAAACACCGTGTTTATTCTCGCTAATTAGATCGAAACTTTGTTCCTCTCCAGGGAATGAATTTGTTTTTGGTACCGTCACCTCTAGTTTTCACTTTAAGGAACATTTGTCTTCAGACATTTCTCGTCCTCTTTGAAACAAATTATCTCCGTAGAGTTTAGAATCATTACAAAATAAAAATAAAATTTATTCTTTTTTTTTTAACCACGCAATACCCTTACATCGAATTTACGTTGCTAAGATATAGACTTTCAGCGTGTTTGCTAATCATCGTATTGCCGTAATATCCTCCCAAAAATTATAAATTTTATTGATTCTGTCGATTCGTAAACCTAATTAGAGATTTATTTAAAAGTGTTTACTTTGAAAAATTACGAATTTAAATAGATATCACCGATATAACATATATTTCAAAGTACAAAACTTAACGTAATAATTAAGGCTCGTGTCATTTTCTACACCTTTTCTATATCAAACCCTTTCTAGATTCGGATTTAATTCGCCAATTTCTTTATCATTATATAATCCATACTTTTAAATACAGTATAATAAAATAACTTTCAAACTTATCCTAGTAATTAACCCGTAGATAAATCGACCGATCCCTAAAATGTGAAATCATTTACAGACAATTCGATCGATCTCTGAAAAACAGTTAAAAGTCATTTTCTCGATTTTATTTCTATAAATCAGGTTGGAAATCTCCTATTTACAACCGGATATGAAGGGTTTAGAAGTTAACCGATTATCATTCGCTTTACTTTTAGTACTCAGCGCTTATCGATTAACTTCTAACTCTAATTCGTAATCCTCGATTGAGAATACGAACATTAGAGAAATAGAAAAATCGAGGACACTCTGTCGGAAACACCTTAAATTCAGAGGAATAAAATATCAGAAGTTATTATCCGGGTTTGAACCCTCGATTTAAAGAAATAAAATTAAACGTTTTTAAAATTTACTCTTATTATTACTGCATACATACAAGGTGGTTAACTTTAATCATTTGAACTTTTACGCGGCTGTTACATTATAGGCTATGTACGGGCGTGTGTAGATGTCTGTGAAATTCATTTAAAAAAGAAATAAATATTCTTAAAAAGTTACTATAAAGCTATTATTATTTGGCGAAATCCTTCTTTTTCTTCATATAACAAACCGATAGAAAAATTCTTGCCATACTGCGTTAAAGACATGGAGCTTCTGATAAAGAGAAGACGTGGATCTCGTTTGATTTCTAATATTCCTCGAGCTACGTTAGAAATCTCCTTAAATTTTCTGGATACGTTTTTTACGTTAATTAACAAGCCCTTGCCTTTTGTAGTTTTTCTTCCATTGGAAACGATGTTCAAAAACATTTTCGTTTTCCCGAATGCAGTCGGTTCTTCGTTAGAAATGTATCGTGGTTTTTAGTAACATGTTTCGCGGTATGTTTGTACGAGTCGCACTTTGTGTGGCGGCCTCGTAAAACTTCAAACACTGGTTAATTCCGATTAGTATGCATCTTTGAGAAAAAATGTTTTGGATGAAAGCTATTCGTTTTTTACATAGAATCGTAATATGCGATAAAAATGACAGTTCCCACTTAAGAAAGTGAAGTTGACCTCGTTTAATCATTTTAATCAGCCGCCGGAATTGAAAAATACGCATTCCTCAAAATGTTCATTAAGATAAAAATGTTAGACTTCGAGGAGATCGTGAGATGGCGCTACTGGTTTCGTCATAGGTGGCGCGTAATGGGTGTTTTCCATTACGGCGCCATCTATGACGAAACCAGTAGCGCCATCTCACGATCTCCTCGAAGTCTAACATTTTTATCTTAATGGACATTTTGAGGAATGCGTATTTTTCAATTCCGGCGGCTGATTAAAATGAACCCCCCCCACATATAACTCTTATTTTAAAATTAAAGTGATATAATATTGTATTTTTTTTCATTTTCCGTTTAGTCTACGACCTAATGAAACTTTTACGACATTTTCAGTCGATTGAGTAAGCTAACGATTTCCTTACTTCTATAAATTCCTTTACTACTTCCTTACAAAAGGAAACCGTCAACGTGTATGGATATATTACCTTTTTTCAACGAGACTATACTTTTGTTGTGTGTTTAAAAAACCTGGAGACTTACAGATAAGTCTTCGTGATCGATGCAAGTCGTGTAATTGGACCAAGTTTTGTTCGTATCTGGATGTCTGTACCAACTTCCGTCTTTATTGCAAACTTTATGAGCGTATTCTGCAATTTAATAGTAGAGTTAAAGCCGTGTAATAAAATAAAAAAAGTATCAAAATTCATATATTTTACTTACTACCACTTAAAAATCCCGGTACGAAATTTGGACAAGGTGTATAAGCTACGCTTCCTGCCAAAGTATCGTTCCAACAACCCCAACCATCAAAGGTTCGACTACAGTAAAGTCTACCTGTAAAAATTTTAAAATTTCGAATAAAAATTATATTTTAAATATTTACAAAATTCTGGTTTTTCGATTGAAGTATTTTTATACCGTCGTTCGGTTTTGGTATTGTTAAAATTGTCCGGATACATTCGGTAAAAACTTTCTCTACTTGTGGATTACCGTAAGGAGAAATTGTTAATTTTCTGATCATTTCGTACAATTCCGACAAATTTGTCACTTCTTCCTAAAAGATTTTATATAAAAAAGAAAGTAAATTTATAAATTTTAACTTAACTCGAAAACGGTTAACCGACTTTTGAATCATCCCGTATTTACTTACTCCAGTGTTGTTCCAAAGACACTGTGTAAAATTCGCATCCGTCCAGTTTTCTTCGCAATTTTCTGTAGCTGAAACGTTACGTTGAAGGTTTTAAAGTTAATTTTACATTATAATTTAATTAAAATATAACTTTCTTATTTCAGTATTGTAATTTATAGTTATTTTCCTACCTTTTTTAAATTATCACAGCCAACAATTTAGTTTAAAAGTCAGTTAACCGCGTGTTTTATGTTTGAGATTGTTATAGAGAACATTAAACCGAATTTAGAGGGTTTCCTTTTTACTGAATTGTTTAAATAAATTCGATTGGATTGATAGACGGGACGTGGGTGATCTGTCGAGTGGGGTTTTTCGGAAGAAAACCCGAAAAACCTCCTTGGAATTCGGTGGTTTTACGTCCTCGGCGAGTGGCAAGCTCGGAATCGATAGAAACGTGATAAAATGATTGAATATTTGAATACAATGTCGATTTGGTATTTACTGAAGTTAACTGACTTTTGGTTTACTCCGTACGTTGTAGAATCGGTGAATTTCAAAGGTTTTTTTTTTAAATTAATAATAATTGTGATTAAATCTAGTAAAAATTTATTTATCCATAATTATAAAATATTCTTAATTATTATTATTATTTCTACATTTTAATTTATATTAATTCATAATTTAATATTTAAAACATATTACATGCTAGTATATAATATATACTAATTTAATACAATTTAACATATTATGTTAAATTGTATTAAATATTATAAATTAATCAAAATAATTTTAACATGTTTTCCTGTAAATAAACTCTAAGAAGAAGAAGAACTTTAATTACAGCCCCGTTAAAAGAATAAAATATTTGTTTTTTTTTATAATTTTAATGCTAATTTTTGTAAAATAATTTAATTTTGGTGAAGTTTCGATGGCGTACAAAATTTTCTAAGATTTTTTTTTTTGCCAATTTCGTGAAATTTAAATAAACAAAATAAAATTCAAGCATTTGAAAAACTTAAATTTATTTGTTTAAATGATCAAATTTCGTTCTTTAACTGGATTTTAGACAGGAATATTTAACAGAATCATTTAAATAGATTCTTTTTTTTAACCGGAGCCATCTTAACATCACTTTGTTTGATGTCGAAAGTCGTGTTTTTTATTCTCATTTTCATGCATTCAGCAAAGATATTTTCAATAATATCGATCGTAGCAACGTTATAAATACATTTGTAGAGAAGAAATCAAAAAAATTCTCTATAAATTTTATAGATCCAGTGTTTGATCTAATGCTCTTTCCATATCCATCATTCGCTTTTCCTTTCCCTGCCATTTCCTTATTCAATTAAAAATATGTAAAACAAAAACTAAAAAAAAAAAAAAGACTTCTTTACAATTTATATTTTACTTTTCCTTTCATTCGTGAAAAAACTTTTTGGTAAAATTTCACACGTCTTTTACAGACATTTAGACAGGCGTTAAAATCTAAAAGAAGAGAAACTAAATCGCGTAGAAACACTCGTTTCGTGCTTAAGTTTATTTGAAAATTGAAAAAAAAACTGCTTAATTTTTCAAATTTTTTTACAATAAATTGTTTTAAAAAAAAAAAATACATCTTAATACAGTAAAAGCCCGATTATCCGAGATAACGTGGATCCACGGATAACCGGAAATTCGGATAAAACAGACCATTTCAGACTAAAAATTACGAATGTAAAAGTGTTGTTCCATACAAGTACGACACTTTTAAACTTATTTTTATACCCTTAGTGAATTTAATCATGTACCGTACAATAAGAATAACAATGTGTATTATTGTAATTACATTTTAATGATTTGTCTCACATTGAAGTTAAATGATAAGAGATAACAGAAACAAACTATTTTGAACACGTGTTATCGTTTTAAACTTTACTGTATGAATTGCAGTACAAGAAAAGTAGCGTAGGTTCTATACACTTATGGATTTGTCTCGGATAATCGGGATTCTACTGTATGTTTTTACGTTAATATCATTAATGAAATATTTAAAATTGAAATAATAAAAAAGTATATAAATTGTCTTTAATAAAAAAAATAAAGTTAGGCGAGGTGTCCTTTGTACAAAATTTAAAAGAAATTTTTATAATAATCAAATGCAATTCAAAAAATTCAAAGAAATGTGGTGAGAAAAAGATTGCGTGACGAGTCGATTCCTTTAAAAGTCAACGGAGATAAAATGGAAATGGGTTTAAACTTCATTAAAATTCGACAACCCGCAGGCTCTTTTATAGAAATAAACAACCAGTAAAAAACACGTTTTCTCATTTACCTTTTTTATAAATTTTTTCAGATAAAGTAATAGAGAAATTCAAAAAAAAAAAACCCCATCAAAACCATCAACTAATCTACAAGATACTTACCGTTACAATTATCTTGTAAAATGGAATTTTGGTTACAGAGCCATATATTTTTAATGGTATCGGCTGTTTGGCTTTTCAAACTCATTTCTTTTTTCCTGATTTTTTTTTAATTTCTAAAAAAATCAAAATTAAAAAAAAAAGATTAATAATGAGGTCAATGTTGTAAAAGTAAAAGTGAAATTGGCATTTTACCATTAGATGCCTCAAGATTTTCTCATGTAAAATATTTGTTGTTTGTGCATCGGTCATGAGTTCTATTTAATGACGTTCGTTCTGTGTTAATGATGTTTATTTTACACAAGCTACTGTGTTAACGTTTCTATTTTATTAGTGTTATTTGTTCCGTGTTCTGTGTTAACCATGTTTGTATTATTCTAATGTTTAAAAACATTTTTTAAAAATAAACATTGTATGTACTGAAGTATTTTAAACGTTTGTTATACATGTTTTTGAACTGTATAAACGTTAGCAGGCACGAACTGTTTTGTATTGTTCAAAAGTGTGTATTAACAGTGTTTGCACCAATCGAATGGAGTTTTAAGTTTTAATTTTTAGAATTTTGGGCTTTTTTGGGGGGCTTCAGACAAGCACAAATAAGTTTGTAGTCGATACAGTACAAATATGATCAGTATAGCAGGCTAGTCAATTGATTCAGTATTCAGAATTCGATACTAGATAAATCCTATATCTTTCGCTATCAGCTTTACATTAAATCAACCTATATAAGAAAGAGCGCTGCAAATCTTTGCATGTCAAGGCTCTGTTATCAGGGCCATCGAGAGAGGAAGTGGTTGGGGGTTGTTTCCCTGTTCCAACCCCTATAAATTAATGCTATCTTTACTAGCAAAAAATAAAATCTTTACGACTCTTTCTTTATTAAAAGAAGCATTCAACGTATTTATTTGTCCAAAACAAAAATGGCAAATGGTCCGCTAAGGAACAAAACGGGCCAGCTCTGTGTCCGGACAGTGTATAAGCACTCGAAGGCTCTGCTTCTTATAACTTAAAATCTTATGTTTTACTATCAAAAGCATTTTTACAATTCTGTTGACCGTGTCAATATCTCTAAAGCAAAAAATGCAAACGTTTATTTAGAAATTCTTACAGAAAACGTTTGTACTAAGATCAAGAAATGTGTTTACAAACTTTGTAGTATTAAAAGTTTATATTAAACGAATGCATTTAACAACATTTGTACTACTCGAACTTATTGTGTCAACTGAACATTTATTATATAAATTAATTTAATTAGAGAAAAAAGATTAAAAACCTAATGAAATTCCAGATTAGATTCGTTTAAATAAAATATTCGAAGAAGAAAAACGCTAAAGAAAATAAATCGATTTTCCTAAACTCGAAGATTATTTTTATTTTCTATTAATGTCCAAATTTTCGATATCTTTGGATAGATCCTGTCAAAAATAAGCCAATCAATTCGATTGTTCTTTGAATTACCATCTATCTCCACTTGTACGTGCGTGGGGAATCTTTAAACTGAACTTCTAGAAAAAAAATAATAATAATAACTGCATTAGTCATTATATTAATTAACCATTAAAAATCTACAAAAGTCAATTATCTAAAACAATTATTGTACGAATCTTTGAACATCTAGTTAAATTACAACACACACATATAAAATATATTAAATCTTTATTTGTAAAATAAATTAGTGTATAAACAATCTAAGATCGTCGAACAGCTATAAAAATTAATTATATAAACTGTTCAGCAATTTAAACATCTAAAAAGTGATATTATTAACTATTAAACATACAGTAAATCGAATATTTTAAAAAATTTATATTGACTACGGAATATGTAGAAAAACAATCGCAGTAGCTATCGAACAAGTTAAACAAACACACAAAAAGAAGAAAAAACAATTGAATATCCGGATAAATTGTAAACTAGAAACAACTACGGTAACCATTGACCTCTGTACCAATTGAATATCTATCAAAATAGCTTCACCAACAATCGAAGATCTAATTAAATTACTAAATCAGTAAAAGATCTGTTCTTATAAAATAAATCACCGAACAAAATAAATGAAAGAGAAGTCTCTAGAACAAGAAACAATAGGCTTATATACATACATATACAGTAACTTATTTTGTTTTAGATTTTATTTCTGTTTTAGATATATTTATATTCGATATATATATTGAATATAAATATAAATATATATTCTAAAAGGCATTCGACGTTTTCTATTGATTATCGATAGTCAAGTAGATTATGTATGAATCCTGTGACTTTACATAAACCTTTACTGTATTCAATATAAGGTACAGATCACCAATGCGAGTCGAAAGGCAGAATAATGGAATGGCTCGTCTGCAAATAGTATATATATATATATTTAAAAACATATTTAAAATATATATTACTCTTAGTAATTTTACGTAAAGTACGTTATATTTGCATATCTGCAAGTTAACAGAAATCGTTAAGTAACGTCATAAAATAATCAATTGATGTTAAGCTGATTTGGATAGTGAGGTTGTTTGATTGATGAATGTTGTCCAGATCTTTCTCTTGGGATTACATCATCGAGGAAAGTTATAGGATAAACAACACTGTATCAATAACACTTTACAGTGACGAAACATAAATTCGATAGAAATATTTTATTATCCACTCGGTTTCGTTCCAAAGAGTTTGCCTTTTATAATCGGTTTCGTTCTACTTTGAATTGTTTTTATTGCACCCTCTTAAATAAATTTTACATAAAATTTGATACCGACGTTAAAAGAATTACATTTAAAATAGCGAAAATTTGAATATTAACTTTTTATATGAGCGAATTTTGCACGAAAGGTGCAATAAGACAAATTTTACTTAGCATCTTACAGTATTTACTGCTTAGAATACCCGAAGAAAATTTTGCCTTATTTCGAAGTAAAATTATTGCTTATAAAAATTTAAAAATCAAATTTTCTTTCGGGGTTCTCAAAGAACAATTTGCTTATAATTTTGCATAAGGACGACTCAAATATTCTTCAGATGTAATTATGCGAAATTATACTCAAATAATTGCAGGAAATCGGAGATCCATTCCATCATTAAGACGTTCGGAATTTTAAAGAAATGTATGCAAATACATCTACAGATTTCATTTATTTAATTATCTGTCGTAGAGTCGAAAACTGTTTCGTTACTCTTATTTGTGTTAAGGATTATCAATCGTTTCAAACTCGATAATACTAAATTCAATCATTCGAACTCCCGTAATTAGGCCTATCTATTACGCTTATTATAGAAATAATTTGAGAAATTTAGAAAAATCTTTAAAAAATACAGTGTCAATTATAAGTCAAATTGTCAAAACGTGTTAAAATTTAAATTCGATTGTTAATAATCCAAACATTTTGATAAATTACACCCCCTATAACACTGTTGATTATTCCGTTTTATATGAATTCCATGTTGTACGAGTCACTTACATTTTACAAATACGTGTGCCGGACTGTGAACTGCTCACGTATGTGTAAAATCTAAGTGACTCGTACAACATGGAATTCATATAAAACGGAATAATCAACGGTGTTATAGGGGGGTTGATTGTATTTTACTTGTTACTTAACTGTATAAACTACGTAGAGTGTTTTTTTTTTCAGAATGTTTTGATTTAAACACCGTGGGCTATAATTTTAAAATCCCGCACTTTTCGCAAGTTCATATTGGTTACTATAGAAAGGAAGTTTTGTTTACAGATTTTTACTATTCAGTCTTCTAAAATGCCCGAGAAAAGCGTAACAGAAAGCTAAATTCGTATAAAATGTCTTTCCGAAGGAGGATTTTCAATTCTGTGCTTAGTAAAAGAACTAAATAAATCTGGAATGAATGTTTCTCAGAGTACCGATGCTCGTGTAATCAAGTGTGAAGAAGTGAAACGTCAAGCTCAAGTCAGAGCTACCTATGCAGGAGGATGTTTCTAAACTGTACGGTGTCGCCATAAAACGTTTCTAATCCTTTCTGTTTGCAACAAAGTTACGTGACTGCTGAGTCCTGTAGATTCATCGATCTTCAATAGCTCTTAGAGCCGTTGAAGTCTGGCGACCACTGGAAGAAAATTTAAACTTCAAAATGGCAGCCATAGATGAGACCAAACGTCTTCATTTTATGTATGAAGATCGCAGTTCTTAATGTACTTACAATTAAAGAGATCGCAGTTCTTAATGTACAGTAGAGCGTCGATTTTCCGAAAGTCAATCATCCGAAAGAATTCCAGTCGGCAAATTTAAATTTTCGCCAGTGCTGTGGCGTTTCAATCTTTGTCTATGTCTTGAGCTACTCAAATATTTTACGTTTTTGATACTAAATTAACATCTGAAGTATAATTTTTTATTATTTTTATATTTTTCAATATATTTATTTTGTTTGTAGAAAATAAAAAAATAATTTTTAACGATACAATAGTCTTTGTTAGGCTTAACATCGACGAAAATTCAACGCGAAGCGACACGCAACGGAGAAAAATTTCGACATCGGATACGTTAAACTATTTTTTCGTACGTAAATCAGTTATCCGAAATATCAGTTATCCGGACAACCCCAGTCCCCAATTGATTCGGAAAATCGACGCTCTACTGTACTTGCTTCAACTGTACTACACCCGTTCTGTATAAAGTGACTTTAAAAGAAACATCAGTATAATGTGGTATAACTTCTTTCACGAATCCTTCTATCTTAGCACACTTTGCGCCTTTGTTTTTCCCTTTTCTAATACTTCTAGAATTAACATATCTTCTTCCATACTTGATGTAAGAAATTGTTTTTTACAATTAAATGATTTGTAGACAAAAACAATTCACATAACGAATTGTTACCATGCACCAGGCATTATTCAGCCAATAAATTCGAGTAGCATCAGCCATTATTCTGCACTATCGAAACACGTGGTAACAAGTCGTTTCTTTTTTCTCTCGGAAATGGCATCATTGCTTTACTCATCTTCCCCAACGATGTTGCTTACACCGTGGAGTTTAGAAATGTCCTCCAGTTCTGCACGGCCAATTACATTATCAAGAAAGGAAGTCTGTGGCCCTAGCACAAAAGAAACGGTGAAAACATTCGCTTCCAGACCAAGCCTCGAACAGCATGTACAGTACCAAGCCCAAAATTTTATCCAATTACATAACCAATAACGCAATGATAGCAAAATGTGAACTGAATAACTGGAAAAAATTGCCAAGACGAAATCCGAAGGATTTCTTTGGCATTGGATTTTTAAAACAATCTGAAACATCGCGAGACAACTAGTGTCAGACTCTGGAAAGTGCCGAAGGAGGAACATGTAAGGCAGTAACTAAAATAGCTAATATATTTATTTAATAAAACTCATTTTCATTACTTTTTAAATTTTTTACCACATATCCTGGAAAAAATCTCATTTTTAAAGGATCTGTATAGTTGCTATAAATCACTCAAGTTATATCAGTTATACATAAATATATAATGTGTTTTATAATATATACAGCAATATTGTAATATACAACAATCAGTTTATCAAAAATATTGTCATAAATTTTTGATAAACTGAATGGCCCACTAGTATCCCATATAAAAGCACTGAATGCCGGTAGTTGGTCGGAGGTTTGCGTCTAGCCAACAGGATGGCCACGTGGAGTTTTCCGGATTTTCTTCACGTTAGTAA